ATTCATGTGAAGATTGAATGACAAAAATATTCACTGTAAAATATCAAATAAGTTATTTAATAAATCACTTACCATAATCAATCGCAACGTTAATTTTCCGAAATTTCCGAAATTGCTAAAAAAAACCTGTAAAAAATCCTTACATAATAAGTTTTATATATGGTCAAAACTATTATTTGATTTACTGATTTGATGAACACCCTAATATCACGTGAACGTGAAATAACCAATTACAATAGATTCATGTAATTGACCAATCACGAGAAAATTATCCACGAGGTCACCAATCTTATATAAAAGCAGATAATCGAACACAAACGGTTGAAATTAGATTAACACACTCTGACCTGTCCAAATAATGGACAACACTGATAAAGATGATGCGTCCTTTTCAGTGCCTACCGTTGCCACCCAGGCAGTACTAGTCAAGTCTACCTCTATGCCTGATAACGCTACAATCGTTATAGGCCCTGATTTTAACCAAAACCATTCTTTAAATGACTTGCTCAAGAATTACTCTCGTATTGGTTTCCAGGCAACTAGTGTTGGTCAAGCTATTAATGTCATCAATCAAATGGTTTTTATATAATTCAATTCTTTTTTTTTCAAAAAAAAAAAAAAAGAGGAATGTTATAAAAACCATATAAGCATGAAATTCTTAATTTTAGCGTAATTGGCGTTTGTCTGATGATCCAATTTTACCCGATGAATCCGATGATTACAAACTTCCGGCCGTTCGTTCTTCCACAAAATGCAAGATTTTTCTCGGTTATACATCGAATCTTGTATCATCAGGACTCCGTGAAATCTTCCGTTTTTTAGTTCAACATTCTCTCGTGGACGTAATCGTCACAACTGCTGGTGGTGTGGAAGAAGATTTTATAAAATGCTTGGGTCCGACATATTTGGGTGATTTCCATTTACCCGGCGCCCAATTAAGAAAACAAGGAATAAATCGGATTGGAAATTTACTAGTACCTAATGAAAATTATTGCAAATTTGAAGATTGGGTTGTACCAATTTTAGACCGTTTGTTAGAAGAGCAACAAAGCGAGGTATATATTGAGATGTTGAATCATTTCGTTTCTAAGTCTTATAAAATTGTTTATTAAGGGTATAATATGGTCGCCTTCAAAAATAATCCACCGCTTGGGTAAAGAAATCGATAATCCTGATTCAATTTACTATTGGGCATATAAAGTAATGATTATTTTTGTTAACTTAGATTGATTGCCTTTTACAGCTTTTTTTAATATACATGTGTATTTTAGAATGATATTCCTGTTTATTGCCCGGCTTTAACGGATGGCTCTTTGGGTGACATGATTTATTTTCATTCTTTTAAAAATCCCGGTTTAATTATCGATATAGTGTCTGACATTAGGTCGATAAATAATCAAGCTGTATTCGCTAAAAAAACTGGTGTTATTATATTGGGTGGTGGTGTAGTGAAGCATCATATATGCAATGCTAATCTTATGGTAAGTGATTTATTAAATAACTTATTTGATATTTTACAGTGAATATTTTTGTCATTCAATCTTCACATGAAT